TTTTATTTTTATTATTTTTATTTAATGCGGAATATATTATATTTATTATACTTCCTCCGTCCCTTAAAACTTTGCCAAAGTTGACCGGCACGGAGAATAATAAAGTTAAAACTGTGTGGTTGAGGTTTGTGCAGAGGAGAGAAATAACAGAAACCACAAAATAATTGATTAAAAGAGAAAGTGACAAAGTTTTTTGGGACGTCCCAAAATGAAAAGATGGCAAAGTTTTAAGGGACGGAGGGAGTATATTTTTGTGTTTTTATTTTTTATAATTTTATTATAAATTAATTAATATTATTTCTTTTATGCTTTAATTATTAATGAAATTGGTTGAGGCTTGAAGCTTGGGTAGAGATATATTTATCCAAACACTGAAATGACTCTTATTCGAAACATGATACTCCTATTTATAAATTTAGTTTACAATACCATTTTTAATAAACCGTATTCAACTGTTTACTCTCTATCCCCTCACCCCATTAATTCCACCGCCCCTTAGGACTTGTGGTTAGAGATGGCAATTGTGACTGAACCGATGGATACCCGCACCGAACCGCCCTGGTCAAAATGGGGGAAACCGCATTGACCGGGTAACGGGTACGGGGCGGGGAATCCCCGTTTTCTTTTTACGGGTAATGGGGCGGTTACGGTTTTATACATGCCCGCCCCATTACCCGCCCCGTACCCGTCCCGTTTATTTGTAGATATATTTTTATTATATTTTTATCTATTATTTGTCTAACAACTATTAAAAGATGAGATTTTTTCTTTCCATTGTGTATATATAGATAATAGATGTACTAACTATAATGTATGAACGAAAGTTCATAATAGATTTTAATAGTCTTGTTTGATTATTACCATATTTTTGTGATTAATTATTTTTTAGATCAAGTATTTTTAGGTTCAAATTAATTTAAGTTGCTTGATTTCTCGTCTTGTATGTATACAAATCTTTAAATTGGCATCTGAAGTGTAGAGTCGTCTAGGCGATGTCATTCTTCGCCTTTTAAAATATTATTTTTATATCAAAATTTAATGACTCAAGTAATAAAGTGGTTACCCGCGGTTACCCGAAGTTTTACCCATTACCCGTTGGGGCGGTTATGGTTTGGGTAAAAATTACCCGTTGGGTAATGGGGCGGTTACGGGGCGGGGAAATTACCCAACGGGGCGGGTACGGTTATATGCAAAACCGTCCCCGATCCGCCCCGTTGTCATCCCTACTTGTGGTGGAATAAAATATTGATAATGAAATAAAATTGTGACATACTCCCTCCGTTTCTGAAACAAGTTCCACATTTGACTTCACACATATTAAGAAAATAAATTTGACTTTACTGTGGAGTGCACTGTTTGGCACTGTTTGAACACTGTTTCACACTGTTTGACACTGTTTTGATGTAGATAATTTGCCAAATAAGGAAATGTTTGAAAGTGGAACTTAATTTTGAATCTGCGCGAAAAGAAAAAGTGGAACTTGTTTCAGAAACGGAGGGAGTATTGAATTGACGGTTCTTATTTTCGGGATTTGTGAATTGTTTAGTCAAGTTCTATTTCAATTCTTGCGTAAAATAATTGTTTTTTTTTTTTGAAATTAGGCTTAAATAAGTGACATTTTGAAATATATCAATACAAAAAAATAAATACAGGATTAACAAGGAATTTTGGATAGAGATTTGCCAAAACCAATAAAGAATTTGACATGTGTATGCCAAATTGGTGTCAAAAACACTTTGCCCAAGTTATATATATTTGGGTGTCGTAGATGTATTATTCAGCGAAATTAATCATGCGCAAGTTAAATTACAAGGAAGCAGGTAAAAACATGTCACCAATTTATTATCGGGTTTGAACCCTTAATAGGACTAAAATTAGCCCAAAATTCAATAACATGAGTAAATCCCTTTATTTCCAAAATAAGACTAATATATGTCTCTTCATCCCATTCTATCATCTTCCTATAATTTTCAATAGATTTATTTTATTAATAAGAAAAACATAGTTTAATTTTTAATAAAAATATAAAAAAATAGTAAAATATTTATAAATTAATAATAAAAACGTGAAAAAATAAATCAAACAAAATATAATAATAATATAAAATATTTAAAAAACTTTAAAAAAGTCTAAAAAATAAAATAAAATACCTAAAAAATATTTAAAAAATATGTCGTAGGTCACTGCCAACGCGTCCTCTACCTCCTAGCACCACCAGCTCCAGTCGCCAGAAAAAAAGTCATCTTGTGTAAAAAATGTCACATTTCTTTAAAAATGTCATGAAGAGACATTTGTACTCTTTGAAAATATTCAGCTTTCTCTTCAAAATTGCCATCGTGATGACATTTTTTCCCCAACTTGGCAATCTTTTTCGGCGACCGGAGGTGGCGGTGTTGGAAGGTGGCTGAGGTTGTCGTTGAGGTATTTATATTTTTTATTTATTTTTTTCGATTTTTTAATTTATAATTTTTTTATATTTTATAATGATTGTTTAAAAAATCCTATTAGAAAGGACGAATAGGAAGAGTTAGTCCTATCTTGGGAATTTAAACTTTAAACTCCTATTGTTGCAATTATCCTTTTATTTAGTCCAATTTAGGTAAATCTCCCTTTATAATTTATTTGTTTCAAACTCGGAATTATCTTTGTGCATTATATAGCTTTACTAACTTTTTTAGTTATTCTAAAAAAAATCTTAAGTAAGTCATTTCTGATTTTATTATTTCATTCTTATGAATTAATTACATAAATTTTTTTACTTTATTGTTTTTATGTAATACTCAAACTTTATAAGAAGTAATATTCTTGCATCATATATATGTACGTAAGAACTTAATTAAGGATGGTAGTATGGATGGTACATTGTGAAAGATTTTATTTGACTAATATAAATACGTTAGTAATTTCATATGAGTTTTTTGGAGTAAAAACTAAAAAACCTTTATTTAATCGTACTCTATATATAACTACATGGTGCATATATTACTCTCATATAAATGTATATTTAATGTATTAGGTACTCAACTGAATTTTGTTTACATTGTGATTAATACAAGGGGCCCTAAGCATGTGCTCGACATCACCAAAAAAACAGGCTCTTAATAGACGTCTCATATCTGAATCGAAGATAGTAATTATTAGTCTAAGGCTATGTTTGGCACCCGACGGAAAAGATACTTTTGTGAACTTTTTAATAACCGTTAGCTTTTAGTGACTGAAAAGATCTTAAAGAGAATCGTAAAAAGATAATTTTAGATGACAACTGTTTGGTAAAAAGCTGACTATTTGATTTTGATCGGTTTGGTATACAAGCTGTTAGGACTAATTAATACTAAAAGTCACGAGCTTTTTTCAGATGTTACCATTTGTAGTATCTCAAAAAAGATCTTTTAATTTTTGAAAAGTTTTTAAAAATTGGCATGTCAAACATATAAATAGAAGCTTTTAGAGACTTTTTGAACAGTACAAAAGCTAGAAGGTAGAGACTTATGTCTGCCAAACATAGTCTAACCCTTCTCAAAAACAGATGAAATCTTGTACTCCTCAGCCCTGACTCGAACAGGTTGGAATGTGGTTTAAAGGCATAAATATTTTAATTGTATGTTTTATCTAAATTCATATTCAAATTAACACAATACATAAATAAATAAGATTTTCCAAGTTACAGAAAGCATACAATTTACATACCATACTCGATGATACAACTCTTAACGCAATTTATATTCAATTATTGCAAGTTTAATGCAATTTTTATTAAAAAAAAAAATTACATTAATGTAATTTCAATTTTAATGCAATCTGAAAATTTTCAGATTAGTTCGTTACGTTTTTCTAACCATTTTAAATCTGAAAATGTCTTGACAAATAATGTCATTTTGATGCATGACACTAACTTTATAAAAGATTGCAATATTATTGATGATCACTTTTTTTTCTTTTTCTTCTCTAATGTTTCAATTCCGATTCTAGAATTTTATTATTTTTATCGAGTAATGCCATAGTGTCATACTCCCTCCGTTCTTTATTATCTATCCTGCTAGTCTTGGGCACGGGTTTTAATAGAAAAATACTAGGATAAATGTAGAGTGTGTAGGGTAAATGATAAAGTAGGAAAGAGAGTATATTAAAAAGAGTAAAATATTGATAAAGTGATGATAAAGTAGGAAAGAGAGTATATTAATTTAATACAAAGCAATCCAGTTATTACATCATTTTATATATCAAGATGGCAACTCAATCTCATTGGAGATTGACTAGATTTTGTAACTCTAATTTCATTTAACTTTTTTTATCTCGCTTGCTTATTGCATGTGTTTCAATGTTTCCCTTCATAAGTGTGTTCTGTTGCAAAAGGAAAGAAATGCACCTTATGCACGTGCCAGAGAGGACAAAGGAAACAGAGTACTAGAGTAGTGGTGATTAAATTCGAACACTTGCTAGTTGCTTCACCCATTTCACCCGTCTTGGACAAACAGAGTAATGATGGAAACTTGGGGTGGGTCAGTATATTTTCAGATAAATTTTCACACTTATATTTTTATAAAATTGCAAAGCATTTTTAGATTTGGGGTGGATCGGGGCCCGGTTGCCCTTCTCTACCTCTGCCCTGGTTTTATTATTTTCCTGTCACTAATATTAAGACATGAGAACATGATGTCTTTATCAAGGAAAATGGATTTACGTGATTGATGATAGGGAAAGTTCCTGAAATAGGACTAAAACAATTTGAAAATTCTAAAATAGGACTGTCGTGTTTTTTATTCCCAAAATATGAGTAGTTACTGCCAAGTTTAGAAAATACCGTCATGTTTTTGAAATCTGGTACTGCCAAAACATGGCAATAATTAATCTTGTTTTGGGAATAAAACATGGCATTCTCATTTTGGAATTTTCAAACCTTTTTAGTCCTATTTCGAGTAATATTCTCTTGATGATATTGAAATGATAAAATACGAATTATTTAGAACCATACAAATTTTATTAAATTTGATATGAAACAATGTTAGAAGAACCAACCAAAAGGAAATATGGGATAACGCTATCAGGAGGGAGAGAGTACAGTAAAAACTCCCATTATTGGGTGGCAATTCTCCCATATATATTGACCCTTCTCACGTTTTTTCTCTGTCAGCTCGTGCAAGTCGAACAAAGTGGAAGAGCAATGGAGTTGGGCAGTGCTCTTAGCTTCTTGGAAGATAGAGCAATTCTGGTCACGGGTGCCACCGGCTTCTTGGCAAAGAGTACGTATAGTATGAATGTTCATACAAAAATTATGTTTGTACTCACTCTTATATCTACTTTTGTATCCACTCATGTTTGTGATTTTTTTTGTCTGTGAATCGTTGCACAAACAAAATATTGTATGTGAATCGGGTTCACAGACAAAAAAACTTCACAAACATGGTGGATATAAGGTGGGTATAAGGGTGGGTACATCAAGCATGGTTGAAGTTCATATATATAGGTTCAGTTTTTATTTTAGACCTTCTATATATACATAGCTATTATAATGGATTTTGATTCCTTCTTTAGCTAAACTCTTGATTTTGTTGTAGTTTTTGTGGAGAAAATACTTAGACTTCAGCCAAATGTGAAGACCTTGTTTCTTCTCCTAAGGGCTGAAGACACAATGGCGGCAGTACAACGTTTCACCACTGAGGTGCTACGTGTTCCCTGACAATCATATCAATCGTGTTATTTGTACTCACTCTTATACTCACTCTTATATCCACCAATGTAAAAGACTGTTTTTTGTCTATGAATCCCATTCACAGAAAAATGAGACATATTTTGTCTGTGAATAGGATACACATACAAAAAGAGCCTTTCACTTTGATAGTGGTTTAAGAGTGTATAAGGATGTGTACGTATATCATTTTTCTAACATTTATACGCTTTTGCTCTTATGTCATTTAATTTGAACATTTAGAATGTCATGTTATGTTCTTAAATACACCGTACGTATATCATTTTTCAACATTTATACGCTTTTAATTTGCTCTTATATCATTTAATTTGAACATTTAGAATGTCATGTTATGTTCTTAAATACACGGTCTTTCAATTTTGTCATCCTTATTAAGATTGACTACCTACCTCCATGATCAAGTGTTATCTTGACCAACATGGAAAATTAAAGCTAACCTTTCTTATTTAGTTGAGGTTAGTATTACTCGTATTAGATTGGGATTAGTTAACTCACTCTTAAACATTATATACAGAGAGGGTGGGATTTAACCCATCTTCTTAGATCATCAAAATAGAATGCACAACTAATTAGGAGGTGAATAAAGGGACCAAACAAATTTTAGAGGCTACGCCAAATAATATAGAGAGAGGGGGAGTTTACTTCACAATTATGCATTACGCCAAATAAATCACTATGTAAGACTTTGAGTTAATTCTCCTATCAGATTAACCCAGTTAGAAAAATAAAAATTTACTAATTTTTGTTATGTTAACTTGTACTTAGATATTTTTCTCAAATTTTATGTACAATGTCATCTTTGCACACACATAATATAATTTGATCTTCTTTTTATATATACTTGTACATTTGTAACTTAAACTAAGTCTAGTTAAACAATATAATATTGATAATGTGATTTGTCATTTATGAAATATGTGACTAAAGTTTAGTGTAATTTGTAAATTCGTCTACACTTACATGTCAATGATAGAATAAACAAATTGTGTAAAAAAAATTATAAAAATATTTGTACATGTCCAATTATACCCTGCCCAATTGATACTTGATAATGGATTTATCAGGTATTGGGAAAAGACTTGTTCAAAGTTGTGAAGGAAAAGTACGGGGAGAAGTGGGATGGGTTGATATCGGACCGGGTTAGTGTTGTGGCTGGAGATATCACGTGCGAGAATTTGGGCGTGAAGGACTCGAGTTTCCTAGACCGGTTATGGACGGAAGTCGATGTTGTAGTTAACATGGCTGCAACCACCGATTTTGATGACCGGTACGTGTGGCTTACCACATTTCGTTTTACCATTTTCAAATTACATTTCATCAAATTACATTTTGTATTCACCTGTTTTACAATTTTTATGAATGTAAGTTATTTGTTACACCACAAATAACTTACATATTTGTTTAACCTGGTTTATGCTATTGAAACAAAAAAATGTTATCGTTCACACATGTTATATGTGCAGGAGCATGATTTTTTTTTTTTGAATATCTAATTTTTATAGCCCTGGTATTAAAAAACATCTTCACTATTTACATAAAATAATTGAGCGATAAAACGCGAGAATTTATTTAAACGCGACCACATTTCTATCAATGTGAATTCAATGTCTTTAAACGCGATTTACATCACACTACTATTGGAAAAAAAATGTTCACGCGTATTTTAATTCTGAGAGGATGCTCTCCATGATATAACAACTTCTCTCTAACCCTCACTCCTTACATTTTAAGGTTATTTTATTTCTGGGGTGGGATCACATACAAACTAGTCCTCCATTCTAACTTACAAACTGTCACAAACTGTGCATCTTTACATTATATTATTTGTATTGCATATTGAACTTCAAAGTGTTGCATATTATTTGTATTTCATATTGAAGTTCACGATGTGCATCTTTACATTATTTATATTGCATATTGAAGTTCAAAGCGTTGCATATTACTCCCTCTGTTCCTATTAAAGCTTCTAACTTTCCTTTTTCGTCCGTTCCAATTAAAATTTCCATTTTTCCTTTTTAAGGAATTTGTGGTTCACAACATTTCTTACACATTTCTCTCTCCTCTGCACAACTCTCCACCACACAATACCCACCATCTTAAATTGTGTTCCAAAAATATTTGGAAGATAAAATATTTGATTTCTTATCTACTCCCTCCGTTCCTAAAAATTCTTCCCGGTTTGACTTGGCACGCTTATTAAGAAAGTGGAATAAAATGGAAATGTATGGTTGTGGTTATGTAAGAAAAAGGTAAAATGAATGTGAGCCACACAAATTGTCCAAAATGGGAAAGTGGGAAGTATTTTTGAGAACAACCCAAAAAGGAAAGTGGGAAGTATTTTTGGGAACGAGGGAGTATTATTCTTTATCTCTAACGATTACTCGGTATGAATTTGTGGTGTATGGACTTGATTTGATTAAACTTTTTGACGTAAAACATTGACTATATATAGCTTTTTGAAGTAAAAACATTTAAACTTTTTGGAATAAAAACACTGTCTCTCATGTGATTAAACTTTTTGATGTAAAACATTAACTATATATAGCTTTTTGAAGTAAAAACATTTAAACTTTTTGGAATAAAAACACTGTCTCTCATGTGATTAAACTTTTTGATGTAAAACATTAACTATATATAGCTTTTTGAAGTAAAAACATTTAAACTTTTTGGAATAAAAACATTGTCTCTCATGTAAATGTATATATGTTCAATACTTTAATGGATTATGCTCCACTCACTAAACTTATTACAGCTATGATGTGTCCTTCAAGATTAATACGATGGGCCCTAAGCATGTGCTAGACTTCGCCAGAAAGTGCCAAAAGTTGAGAGTTCTTCTTCACGTATCAACCGGTAAGTGTCAAGACGTGTCCTCAGTTTTAAGTTCAATAGAAATTGGAAGTGTCGGTTTTTCAAGAGTAGTTGTGAAAGATCTTTACATTTTGACTTTACAATTATTAAGAAGTTTGATATTGTTTGGTAATGTTTGACAATGTTTGGTACTATTTGACACTGTTCGGTGTAGATTTGTAAAGCAAATAAGAAGTGTAAAGATCTTTTTGATACTGTCAAAAATAGAAAGTGTAAAAGATCTTTCAGAACCGGAGGGGGGACTAAATCATCATTAAAATGCTTAAATATGATCAACTATATTTAATACCTTATAGAGCAGTATTTATCCTATTTCGAAACCCATGGATTTTCACAGACCACTTTACCCCTCCTTAGTCAGCAGCGGACTTCCCGCATTTGTATGGTTATCATGTACTCCCTCCGCTTCTGAAACAAGTTCCACATTTGACTTCACACATATTTAGAAAATAAATTTGACTTTACTGTAGAGTGCACTGTTTGGCACTGTTTGAACACTGTTTGAACACTGTTTGACACTGTTTGAACACCGTTTGACACTGTTTTGATGTAGATAATTTGCCAAATAAGGAAATGTTTGAAAGTGGAACTTAATTTTGAATCTGCCTGAAAAGGAAAGGTGGAACTTGTTTCAGAAACGGAGGGAGTAGTTCATTTTAATGATGTTCAAGGGAAAGTTAATGACATTGTTTATAAAATGTAATTATGTCGTTATTTTTCATTTTTTTCAATTCGAAAAATTTAAACTTTTACCATAACAGTGTTTAAACTGGAAAATATGGTCTTATACAAATATGATCGTCTTCTCGTTCATGGACATTTCATGCTCGGGTTTATTCATTAGTAATTCTTTACACATTAACATCGTGTTAATTAATGAGGTGTCTTTACGTACAATGCCCGTTTTGTTGTAGCATTTGTATTATAATTAATGACAATTATATTTTTTGGCATAAGATGTATTCATGTTGGCATGTTGTTAGTCATTTTCTTTGACCAGTTTATATATGTTCCCCTAATTCTGTTGTTCTGATTGTGTTGAAGTTGGATGAGAGTTGGACCCATAATATATAGTTTTTCTTGAAGTAGTAGTTATAATACGATAATATTACAAATTATAGTTATAAGAATACATTGTTTAGTGATTGCTCAAGTATTTTAAAATTACCAACTTCTAAATTTGTACGTAGTATAACCTAATTTTAAACTGCTTAGTTATTCATTAAACAAAATTATCATTTACCTAAACAAAGTTATTCATTAAACAAAGTTATTCATTAATTTTATCTAAATTTTTACTTAGTTATATACTTATAGAAATAATAATTATTAATTATACTAATATCTTTGGGAACTCTTTAATTTGAATAATACTACCAGAAATATCGATAAAGGAGTCATATATACATGATTCAAAAGCAATAGTCGTGTATTTTTTTTACTCCAAGGGGCGTCTGGGGGAAGGGGGTTGGGTGAGTCTAGAGTGATCAGGACTGAAACTCACTTCATTGAGTTTCAAACCCTTATTGTACGTGCTTAGCGGGTTTCAAACTCGAGATCTCTCACTACGTACGATAACCTCACAACCAGCTGAGCTAGAATGCTTGGTTGCAATAGTCATGTATAGAAAAGGTCGAAGATATAAACTAATATTCGTACTCCTTTCGTGATATTTTTAATTATTTATCTCTATTTCCCTTTTTAGTAAGTTTTTTAATCAAAATACTTTTATACTCCAACTTTTATTACCCTTATCCTTTTTTATTTTTTACATACTATTTTCTTTTTCCTACTTTATCATTACTTTACTCTTCTTAATATATTCTTTTTCCTACATTTTCATTTACCATATACCTTCTATATTACCCTATTATTTTTCTCTTAACACTCGTTCCGACCTCTAAGGAGAAGTAATAGAGAAAGGAGGAAGTATTATATACAATGTAAAAAGTTGCTTAAAAAGTTGAATGGATTTGGAACAGCGTATATATGCGGTGAAAAGCAAGGGCTCATTCTAGAAAGCCCATAGAAAATGGGGGAAACATTGAACGGAACATGTGGGCTTGACATTGCTAGAGAAAAAAGGATAATCATTGACTTGGTCATTTGGTTCACTTGTGATCCTTCCGCCTCACTTTCCAAGTTCTGTGATGTCTATTTGGCGATTTTAACTATCTAAAATATCGATAAAGGAGTCATAAATGATCGAAAAGCAATAGTCATGTACGGAGTATAAGTAAAAGTCAAAGATGTAAACTAATTATAAAATTAATGTATTACTCATAGGAGCAAAAGTGTAATTTATTACTCCCTCCTTTCTCTATTCCTTTTGTGATATTTTTAATTATTTGTCTCTATTTACCTATTTAGTAAGTTTTTAATCAACATATCTTTATACCCCCACTTTTATTACCTGTACTACTTTTTTACTTTTTACGTACTATTTTCTCTTTCATAATTCATCATTACTTTATTGTTCTTAACATATTTTTTTTCCTACATTTTCATTTATCATATACCCTCTATACTACCCCTTCTATTTTCCCCTTAAAACCAGTGTCAAACCCTAAAGGGACAAGCAATAGAGAATGAAGGGAGTACGATATTATTATACGATGTAAAATTAAAAAGTTAAAAAAATAACTTAAAACGTTGAATGGATTTGGAACAGCATATGTATGCGGTGAAAAGCAAGGGCTCATACTAGAAAGGCCATACAAAATGGGGGAAACATTGAACGGAACATGTGGGCTTGACATTGATAGAGAGAAAAGGATAATCAATGAAACTTTAAAAATGCTCCGAGCTGAAAATGCTTCTCAGCAATCCATCACCTTAGCCATGAAAGACATTGGAATCCAAAGGTATATCTGCAAAATACACGTCTTTTGGTAATATTTGAGGTAAATTATATATATTACTCTTTTATCATTTAAATCACTTAATTAACTAACATTTCTTTCTCTCAAAGAGCAAAGGCATATGGATGGCCAAACACTTATGTATTTACAAAGGCAATGGGGGAGATGCTTTTAGGTGAATTGAGAGACAGTGTGCCTCTTGTCATTATACGTCCGACCATTATAACAAGTACTTACAAGGAACCATTCCCCGGTTGGGTTGAAGGTGTGAGGTACCCTATGATTATTATTATAATTATTATTCGGTTGGCTTTCCTCATGGTATTATACTTCCAAATTACAGTAACTTATATTGTAATCATGTATGTACATGCAGAACTATCGATAGCTTAGCAGTTGCTTATGGTAAGGGAAAACTAACATGCTTCCTTGGTGACCCTAAGACCATAGTAGATGTGGTATGCTTCTTGCGATTGATGGATTCCCTCCGTCCCTTAAAATTCTCCTCATTTACTTTTCTGAAACGTCTCGAAAAAATCTGCTCATTTTTCGTTTTGGAAAGTTTTATGTGACTAACATTCATTTGCTTTTTTCTTACTCAATTACAATTATATATTTTCACTTTATTCACACTTTCTCAAACTCCAATCCAAGTCCAACCGCGAACAATTTTATGGGATGGAGTATATTTTCTTTAGAAAACATGGGATTGTGTGCACTCTAGAACTAGGGTAAGTGCCCCACTTATGATCCTAGTGAATAGTAAATGACTAAATATCTAGGTGATAGGTCACTGCCCTTGCATCTAATCCAGGATAATAGTACTTTGTCTAATTACATCCGTCACATTAACATTGGGACAAGAGAGGATGGCACGGTTATTAAGAAAAGTGAGTTTATGTGATTGATATTGAATTGATAAAGTAAAACTAAAGTAAAAATGATTTAGAGTCTCACAAGTTTCACCAAATTTAGTATGAGATAATCTAGCTTAGAGGGATTTTCCGAAAAGAAAAAATGGGACAATTTTAGCTGGACGAAAGGAGTAGTTCTCAAGTGAGATCGAAACATGACATCGTGGACGTACGTCGAAAATAATTCTTAGCTTAAATAGTTTTTTGGAAAAAATGATTGTAAGAATCCCAAGTATTGTTGGTCCGCTCATAATAATCTCAACTATCGATTATTTCAGAATAATACCAACTTTGGGGACCTTCCGCCAATAATGGTCCAACGTGACCGACTATAAATAAATTTCTATAGTTTCTAAAGAGATATAACATGTAATCCCTATAAATAATCCCAAATTTTAATTTTCACGCTTAATTTCTATTAAAAATTCACTTGTTAGAGCATGTAATATGCGGTCAAGGATCATTATTGACGGACGGTCCATATAGTTGTGATTACACAAAAATAATCAATAGTTGGGATTATTGTTAGCGGACCGGCAATAGTTGGGATTATTATTTTCAATTTTTCCTAATTATTTTTTTCTTCCGAAATTCTCGTCTAAAAAAATATAAATGTAGCATTTTAGCCAGAGTTTTTCAAGGCAATGTTACACATGTCTTTTGGATAGATTTTTAAAACGAAAATAAAAAAAAAGTATTATGGCCTCGCATTCAATTGAAACGCCGGTACAATTAGTTTGTTGGAAAGATGACGTTTGTGGCTAATTTTATTATATTTCAGTAATTACAAACAGAAAAGTATCAAAACTGTTACAAACTAGTGTAGGGGTTCCGGCCTTGCTTGACTCTAAATGCGTGGAATTTGGTCAATTCTAGTCCTAATTTATTTGTATTTTGGATTGGATTGTTTCCCTCCAATTGGTATGCCACTAATTTTAATGAGAATATTGTAAGTAATGACAGATACCGGCTGATATGGTGGTAAACGCCATGATAGTAGCCATGGTGGGACATGCAAATCAACAAGGAACTGAAAGCATATACCATATAGGGTCGTCAGTTTCGAACCCAATGAGGTACAAATTGTTGCAAGACTTGGGGTACCGCTACTTCACCAAACATCCATGCATAGGTAAGGATGGAAAACCCATTCTTGTTGGAGAGGTGACTGTGCTAGGCAGCATGGATAGCTTCCGCAGATACATGGCCATTCATTATCTCATCCCTTTAAAGGTTAGTAGCAACTCATTTGTGTGTGAGTGTGTCTATTTACATTCTTCCAAAAGGTTGAATCCCCAACCCCAGGGGCCTCCATGCCCGACCTGACAAGACTTTTGGGAGGATATTAGTCACGGTGACTCAGTCGGCCCAATGATGGTAGACCTTTTACCCGTGCGCATCACAGGCAGAGGTGGAGACGGGGAGAGGCTGGAGGGGGCCTTGACCCCTGCAAGGAAAAAATTATTAAGTATATATTGTGTATAAATACTTTGAATCTAGAGAAATTATGTTGATATTTTAAACTTGGGCCCGACAATCTAAATTTCCCAAAGCTCGGTCTCCTTAACCATCGATTTCTGGCTCCGCGACTAATCAGAGGTCCAGCCCAGCACGCAGGATTGTGTGTCTATTTACACATTTGATGCAAAAAACACCTGATAGGAAAGTTCCTTATTTCTGAAACATCTTGGATATTTCGGATTGCATCGGTATAAAGAATACTTTTGAAAGAAAATACATGAGATTTTTTACCTGAGAAAGTAAAGAATTTCTAAGAATGGTGAATTAGATGGAGATGTATGTCATAGAATCAGAGCTGGTTGGATGAAATAGAAAAGTGCTTCAGGATTTCTATGTGATCGAGGTATGCCGACTAAACTGAAAGGTAAATTTTATCGTACAGCAATTAGGTCGGCATTAATGTATGGCGTAGAGTGTTGGGCGGTGAAGCAATGCCACATTCAAAAGATGAGTGTGACAGAGATGCGTATGTTGCGTTGGATGTGTGGACATACCAGAAAAGACCGCCTGAGGAATGAGGTAATCAGACAAAAGGTGGGAGTAGCACCTATAGAAGATAAGATGCAGGAGTCTCGTTTGCGGTGGTTTGGGAATGTGCATAGAAGACCGAGTGATGCACCTGTTAGACGACTTGAGGGTGGGGAGAAGAGTCAAAGAAGAGAGGGAGAGGAAGACCCAAACAGACTTGGATTAGAGTAATCAGAACTGATATGCGTCTTCTTGGGTTGGATGAGAGTATGGCTTTGGAGAGAGCAAAGTGGAGGGTGCACATCCATGTGGACGATTGATGTCTTGTCTACCTTTCCTCTCTTGTTTCTTTTATCGTTTATCTTCCTTATTTTTTTATATTCTTATGTTATTTTTATCTTCTAGCTTTTTATGCTCTTTTATTTATTTTTCTTTTATCTTGGTTATATTCTTGTGTTATTGTTATCTTATACTAGTATTTATGTATCTTTATTTTATTCATTTTATCTTACTTTTTTTCCTTTTCTTGTCCGCCTTCTCTTTTTGGCATCGATATCATAGATCGATTCATGTTAGCCGACGCCAAATTCTTTTGGGATTAAGGCTTGGATGTTGTTGTAGAAAGTAAAGAATTTTCTGAATTATGGATTAAACTTTGATGTTTCTTATATGTATGCATGGTTTCCTACACTAAACAGGGTTTGGAGATTGTAAATATTGCATGTTGTCAGTACTTCCATAGTATGTACAATGAGATGCACAGAAAAATCAAGACAGTGATGAGGCTAGTAGATCTGTACCAGCCATACTTATTCTTCAAGGGAGTGTAAGTATACTTTTTAAATACTATCGTATTTGAGATCAACAATGTTTCTAAAAAATATGTTTCCAATAAAACTTAGTTTGCATATATGTTTGGAACAGATATGATGATATTAACACTGAAAAATTGCGAAGAGCGGCCAAAGAAGGGGGCACTGAAACAGATGTGTTTTACTTCGACCCTAAAGTAGTCAACTGGGATGATTATTTCATCAAGACTCACATCCCTGGATTAATGAAATACGTTTTCAATCGTAAATAAATGTGTTTGTATAATTCTTATCATCACATTTGTAAGATGATAATTTCTCCTTATTATATTATGATGTACTGATGTAGCCTGCAAGTAAAGCTATCCTTTTTTCTTGTATCAATAACTTATTAGGTGTGTTAACTTTCCTCAAGGATTAATTTGGTTGCATGCATTCATATACTCGATATATTCAGAGCCCGTATAATAATATTGAATCGACAGATTATGCTAAAATTGATAAAGTTCTAGATGAAGTGAATAAATTGACTGAATCCATTGAAACATGAAAAAAGTTATATTTAGAATATACTTTTATCAATAAAATGAAGAAAAAATTATATGACAAGTATCTAAAATGATTTTCTACAGTAATTTTAGCCAATTTAATCAGAAAATAACTTTAAGCTTACTTATTTTGATTATGACCCAAAATGATTGAGAATAGTTCGGTAGCGTTTAAATGAGACTAATGACAATAACAATCCATCAAGGATATCTCGAAAGCCCAATTAATTTATGAACAAATGGCCCATTAATTTTAAATGTCCACAGTAGTTTAAAGATACGAGCATACACAAATGAAATTCTGAGTATAGTAGATAATTTTTAATTTTTTTCGACGTAATTTATGTACGCTCATTTTATATTAGCGTAATACTCATTTTAAAGTGTCAATAAGTGGTGAGCAACTTCAACGAATTTATTTTTTGAAAACACATTTGCTTTTGGGGTAGTATATGACACGACCTTGGGGCAGGTGCTCTCCTTCAAATCTCCAGAAGTATTTAGGCGATATGATAGATCATTGCCCTTACTTCTAATACAAAGATAATATAAGTTTTTCTGTGAGAGTGGAACTAGGGCATCAAGGAATATGATTCTTTAGAAAATAAGTTAGGTTTGAAGAAAAAACTTTTTTTTCAAAATGATCGTCTAAACACATACTACCTATCATATGGGCCTTGAACTTTTTCATGTCAAATTGGTCTCTTGGATGGAGTTAAAATAAAATAAAAGGTATGCATGTTAGACATTATATTGAAGCACTTGAGTATTTTATGCTTATATTATTTACAAGGTCTTCTTAAAATGTCATTGAAATATAATTTATTTACAATAATATGACTAAAGTTAATATGAGTATATTGTCATGTTCACCAAAAATTGATGTTACTATGATAATAAGTTACTATATAATCACTACACTTATTAAGAGATCATATTTTTATAAACATGAAATTATTTGTTACATGTTTTATTTGAACATAAATTGCTATGATTAAGTTGCTATATAATCACTACACTTATTAAGAGGTCATATTATATTTTAGTCATAAATATATAATTATTTCTATATAAGCTAGGTCTTCAGTCGGTTCATTTTGGAAATCTCACCAAGGAATTTTTACCTTCTCACATTAGCTCCCTTATCGATTTGGATAAAGATGTAATTCCCTGATTTAGACTTTAGTCTTTTATTTCATCAACGTTCTTTTCTCAGGAAAGGTATTGGCTTGGCCCCCTTTCCTTTTTTTGTATCCTTCTTTTATGCTTATAATATTCTGATAAATGTTCATCATCATTTTAGTGGTTTGCCTAACGGGACCAAAACAAAACAAATTAGTTTTTGGGTTAGACTTGTAATTTGAGACTTCAAATCAAGTTTGGACAATAATGGACCAAGTGTCCATTTTTTCACCCAAAACCGAACTCAAATTTTAGTCTGGATTGAGAACAGTGTAGGGACTAGGGATCGGATTGTCCGATGTTGCTTAGTTTGAAATATGTGGCAAATGACAGATCCCTATTAACTCCCCTCCCCACTCTGAATATGTGCAAACTTTATATGTTTGAATACAAAACCAAGAAATTGCACAAATGACAGATCCCAGGTGATATGGTGGTAAATGCCATGATAGTAGCCATGGTAGCACATGCAGATCAACGAGGAACCCAGAGTATATACCATGTGAGGTCGTCGGTGTCAAATCCATTAGGGCTTAAGGCATTGCAAAAAATTGGGTATCATTACTTCACAAAGCATCCATGCATAAACAAGGATGGAAAGGCCATTGTTGTTGGACAGATGACTGTGTTAAGCAGCATTGAAATTTGAAAGCTTTCATAGATACATGCTCATTCATTACCTCATCCCTTTAAAGGTTAGTAGTAGTTGGTTTGTTATTTTACCCATATCATGCAAAAATCAAAGAGAATGATAGTTTATTGATCTCCTTGATAGGCGCACCTCCCGGTGTTTTTCTTTTAATTTTTCGAAGACTTTAAAATCGAAGTTAATTTTTCTAACAGCGTTAGATGCCATGCCCCTGCTATGATAACGGAATTGAAACACATGTCTCACTTTGTTAAAAAATGAAACACATGTCCCTATCTGAAAATGGCTCAAACCACATATACGTTTTCTGTACTTCCCTAAAAAAAAGTTGATCTTTCAAGCTCATGGTCACATTTTTTTTCAAACCGTTTCTAAATTCACAAACCTCAAGCCCTTAATAATTACCACAATGCCTTAAGAAGACCTTTTGAATAATTGTTACCCAGTATAACTTTTTCATTTCTCGTACTTTCATATTCCATCAATAATATTCAAAAGAATTAAGAAGTCATATAGGATAACTTGGCAACAATGGGAGTATGGGACTTGTGTTATCAAGGTAGAGCTTATGACTCCTTAAAGCTACTCTTGCAATATTGGATCTCCCTTATTTCAATTGCCTCTTTTCTTCTTTTTTCTTTTTAAATGTGGGTGTTCAAACCACCCGGGCCCTAAAGGCAATGACGAAGTAAAACCGTCAATAATTTATGTCGTCTCGGAGTAAAACTAACAGCCTCTAAGACTTTTTAGAGTTCTATTCAAAACAATCAACATTTAGTATATATTAAACATTGATTGTTCAATCTTCTCTGTGTGTATGTCTCCATGCACTAAACAGGGTTTGGAGATGGTGAACACGGCATGTTGTCAGTATTTCCAAAGTGTATACGATGAGATGCACAGAAAAATCAGGATAATGATGAGAATGGTAGAGTTGTACCAGCCGTCTGTATTCTTCAAGGGAGTGCAAGTGTAATCAATAGATATTAGCGTATCAATGATTTTCAATTAACATGCCCAAGAAAACTTAGTATGAATATGCTGGATACAGATATGATGATATGAACACAGAAAAATTGCGGAGAGCGGCAAAGGAAGAAAGCATCGAGACAGACTTGTTCTATTTTGATCCAAAAATAGTCAACTGGGACGATTATTTCATCAAGACTCGCTTTCCTGGAGTGATGAAATGTCTTCAAGATTCGTAATTAGAAGTGTTAATTCTCTACTTGTGTTATGAACTGCTGCAGAAAGCAGGGAAAACTGCACTCCTATATCATCTGTCCACTTTTTTGTACCAATAATACCATATGTATTAAAATTCCTCCTGTATTTATATGGTTTTATGCAGACATACTCCGTACATTAAATGGGTGTTGTTATTTGGTTGTCTGATAAGGTTTTTAATAAAATTATAATGCCCCTTTTCATCAGCTATATTTCTTAGTATAACCAATTCTAGTGTTTTGTTAAATTACCTTTTTGGCTTCAGCTGTCTAATTCGATTTTTTAACCGGAGGGAGTATAATTTTTTCAAGAATCAACTAATTCAGCAACTTCAAATAGAACTTCATAAATTTCCGCAGAATCAGCCGATTAAATCGATTTTGATATTACCGAACGGGCTGTGATCTTAGTTTTTAGTTGTAGCAATTATGCCAAACACTACTGCGGTACTACATACAAGTATAATAGAAACAATAGCAAACCTAATGTTTCTTTTCTCAAAAAAGAAAAAAAAGAAACAATATCAAACCTAATGTAATTACATTTCTATGGATCGAAGTTCAGACATTAGTCAAATTTAATAAAGTACACATGACATCAAACAAATACTAAATGTTTGACGAGAGAAGCTACTTTATGCTGCGTATTATGTCACTATATGTGTATGAAATATTAAAAATTTACTCAAATGATGAATTAAATTATTTACACAAAATATCTGTCGAAATGTATCTAGAAACCCACACAAACATCAACTTGTGTGAGCATTTAGACGATTCTTTATGAGAGTTTCGAACTAAAGTTATGTAAACTTTGGTGATTTCAATAATTGAGATGTTGCAGAAAGATCGACAAAGATCAAGACCGGTCTTTCCTCTTACCGGCTATTAACACTGGGCTATTACTAATGCCGTTGCAAGCATCAGAATTCTGCTTTGAATCAGAATTCTGATTTTTGTGTACCTTTTCATTCAAGTCTTTGCAGTATGGTCTCGTAATGCACAGCCATGCCGAAGAAGACTCGTTCACAGTTTCACTTGCCAGGGGTACATGCCAGGATCCTTTCTCAGATTCCTGAAACATAAAACATGAAACTCAACATTGTTATTAAGATTTAGGATTTCATTCTTAAAAGCCCGAGGTAAAAAGAGTTGCTAAATAACCTATATGTTTACCTCATACTTTGCAATATATTTGTGTCATGTCTTTTATTTTCGTTGGTCCCGCTAAATTTGTTACATACTCCATAGTATATTTGGTATATTTATAAAAAGGGGCAGCCCGGTGCACATTGGTTTCCCACAAGGCAAGGGTTTGGAGTAGGGTCCCACCACAAGGGTACATAATTCAACTTTCTCATGTCCCAAAGATAGTATGATGGAGGTAGTAACCAGTATTTTTATATTGGCTAAAAGGTCAAATAGATACATGAACAAACTTAAAGTGTTCAATTAGCCCCTTATATAGGAGGTTCTGCCCGTCCGTCGCCAATTGGGGAAATTTAGAAACAAATACTCCCTCCGTATTTAAAAATTCCTTACACTTTCCTATTTGGGCTGTATTTAAAAGTTCCATACACTTTCTCATTAAGGAAAGTTTTATCTATGAAAATACATTATTACCCTCATCTTTTTACCCACATTCAATTATATCCTACCCCACTACTCTTTTAATTATATTCTTTCACCTACTTTATCCTTTATATTCTACTTTATCATTTATCTTCTTTTTCCTACTTTATCACTTTACTCTACCCCTACTATATTCATCTTAAATTGTGTGCCCAAAGCTAATGTAGTGAACTTTAAAATACGGAGGGAGTAAGTAATAGAGTGAAAGGGAAACAAATCAGGACTTCGCAACTTATTATTTCTAAAAAATATTATTTCGGGCGACATAGCTGTATAAAGCATAAAAGAACTTAGAATCAATTATACTGGGGTGTAGAAATGTTTCTCCTTCCCCCATGGAATTAAATACCATAAAGAATGAAGAATGTTAGGGGAGGACAGCAACCATATACAAGTCTTATTCCGAAAAGATTTTGTGGATGGCTAATATGAATTGACATATATTGACACATGAAATACAAATACTCCATCCGTCCCAAAAAGATTCACCAAATTGACTTTTCTTGGTGAATGACAATCAACTTTGAACAATAAATATTTTTAATACGAAATTATTTTGAATAAAAAATTATATCAAAATGATCCTTATTCAAAATACTTTCATAAAAATATAAAATTTATAAATTATATACAAATATAATCATTAAAATCATTGTCCAAAGTTTGCCAACATTTACCAAGAAAAGTCAATATGGAAAACCTTTTCGGGATGGATGTAGTATGATATCAGAAATAAAAACATTAGATAGAGAAAGAGAAGACAAAAAAATAATGTCAAACATCTATACATCTTACTTTCATCCACTTCATCTTCTCCAAAATCACTCTCATTTAACCCAAGAAGGTTAGGATTTAGAAGGGAAAAGGATTTCATTTAAAAAAACAAAACGAAATGAAAATCCTAACAAGCAAAAGAAAATATACCTGAATCACAATGGAAAAGGAGGGCGGCAAGGAAAGACTTGGGTTGCCTTTCACAAATGTGTACCTTACCTACAGAAATTGATTGGTATTTGACATTGATACATTCTCATTTGTCATTGAGAGAAATATATTCACCAGCATGAGTAGTATCATATTAAAATCCAAGCGACACTTAGTACCCTTCACACAGGGTTAAATGGCTTGGGGAAGGAGGGGTACAAGCTTCCTAGATCCACCGGAACTAAGACTCTTAAGCCATTTTGTTCCGGGAAAACCCCAAGGTTTTCCCAAACTTTCCGAAATATTGAACTGTCTAAAGCTTCTAAAATTCTCCATGAAAATGACTTATCCTATGAGTCTTCTTAATTATTACAAGGGAATGTCAAAGTTGCACACGATTTTTCCGTTCAATTTTGTGTTTGCACCCAATTCATAAAATCATTAATATTTGCACTACGTTGTTAGGAACATTATTTGATACTGCAACCCCAAAGATTGTTTCTAAACTATAGTTTGGACCCCATTTTTCTTCAAGATTGGAGTAGGGATGGACTGGGACGGGTCGGCTCGACCCGAGCCCGGCCCGGTCCTGCACTGTTTAGGCCCGGACCGGCCCGGTCGAGCAGTACCGGAACCAGGACCCGAACCGGGTATAGGGGAGGACGGGCTATGGGTCTAGAAAATAGGTGACCGGTCCGGGCCCTTTTTTTTCCGCAATTAATAGGCTGCTAGGCGGGTGGGGCTGAGTGGTTTGGGGGGTTTGGGGGTGGGGTGGGGGGTAGGAATAAATTCGAAAAAATTGCCCAGCCCGGTCTCGGTAGAAACCCGGGCCGGTACTGGGCCTGCAACCCGAAATCCCAAAACCGGCCAATCCCGGCCCGGAGCCCGGCCTGGCCCAGCCCCGGTCCACCCCTGGATTGGAGTATGCGCCCCACTTTTAAACCTTGTCAACAGTATATGTTAATGATTTACATATTGTCCTGACGGCATGGTGTATATGTTAATGATTTCAAAAATGTATGCAAACTCAAATTTGGATGAAAAAGTGGGGCACAATGTCCAATTTCACCACATAATAAATATAAAAAACTTTAAGGATGAAACATCGTTAGGCCCTCAAGTCTTTATTGATTTACTAAAAAGGTTGCTATTTATTTATAATAAAAACCTTATAGTTGTTCTATGACAGCAAACTCGATATTTTTGAGTACTAATGTGAATTAGTGGAAGTAGCAACCACCAATTCAACAGCCTAGTTTCATTTTTTCCATCAAAGAAAAATTATAAAAAAGGGCAGCCTGGTGCACATTGGCGTCCCCGCAAGGTGGGGGTCTGGAGAAGGGTCCCACCACAAGGGTGTAAAAGGAGCACGCCTTGCCTTGTCATTTTGACAAGAGGCCGCAACCAAGACTTGAAAAAATATAGTTCAATAAAAAGAGCCAATAATATTACAAAGCTATAGCACAACTGCACAACTAAGGCAACTCATTTCAATGATATAATTATATATAGAAGAAATAACTAGACACTTCAACCAATCAACCTGATAGAAATATTGAGCAGAAGAGGAAAGTGAAGTTTAAGAAATATACCAACCTGATGTCTTTCTTTCCATCTGATAAAGAAATTGCTACCAAAAAGCTCAAAAATGTGATCTCTCATTTCATCATTTGTCACAAGAAAACACTTGAGTTTCACAGCAGCAAAAAGCCAGTACCTAGATTGCAGCACATATATCCATAAGCATAAGTATCATGGCAGATAACTGAAAGCAATGCAAAGGTACAAATCATTAAAATTACTCTATATTGAAGTATTGGGATTAGAGATTATATATAATTATATACCAATCATCATTTGATCCATAAGGTGTAGGGTAGAGAACTCCTTCATTTATCCATTTCTCAATTAGCTCTCTGTGGTTAGAACTCTCAAGGAGTGCCCGGACACGTTTTTTGTGCAAGACAACAAGGGGCCATTTATTACTCCTATTATGCAAATGATTAACAACTGCAATAAGCTGCTCTATAACAAATTATTAATTAAACCAACTTAGTGACCATTATAACGCAAAAGGGAATGACAAATTGAAATTTGCAAAGCAATGACAATTCAAAGATGAATTAATGACCTGGGAAGCACTAAACCCGCCCTCGGCAAAGTTTTGTTGATAGAGCCCAATATTTGCTCCATCCACTACAGCTTCAAATTCAGAATGGCTTTCCAGCCAATCCTTTACAAAACATCAAGAGAATTATTAAAACATGGTTATAGAAATAGAATACAAAACCAGCAGAGTATTAATTCAATCATCTGAGGCAAAAATATCATAAACATCTTTTCTTAGGTTTTTCAGAAAATACATTTGGAACTTCTTCCCCAACATACACATTATGATGGTCTCCCAGCAGAATGTTTGCGTAAATATTAGATACATTATCATCTTTTTTTTCTTTTCTTATAAAACTCGTTTGGTTACATCTTCAAAATGCACAATAAGATTTTTCTAATTTTCTCTCACCTGAAGCCCTGCATAAAGTACAACAGATCTTTTATTTCTATTTTACAGAAAATTCATTTGGTAGTTCAACTTAAAAATATAGATTAAGAAGCTTCTCTCACCTGAAACTCTGCAGTCTGCACATTATAATGCATAAAATTTATTAATTTTCTTTTCTTTCTCATAGAATATATTTAGTTTTTCTACCTCAAAATGCACAATAAGATGGTTTCCCAGCAGAAATCTGCATAAAATAAATAATGATTTTTTTTTCTTTTTCATAAAACCTGTTTGATGTTTATTCCTCAAAACACACATCATGATGGTCTCGACAACAAAGTCTGCATAAACTAAAAATACATAATGGACTTTTTCCTTTTTCATAAAACTCATTTTGGTATGTCTTCTTCAAAAATCAAAATACATATTAAGATGATTCTTTCACCTGAAACTCCTTAAAGTTTGACTGTGATTCCCTTTCCATAGCTAAGGATGCAACAGAATAAGCAAATGCCTCTGTTTCTTCCCTGGCAATATCAACACAAACCAACTGCTCTGAACAAGTGAGGCACTGTCCATCGGAAGCAATACTTGTTCTCTGCACGGTCCAATTACCCTTCCCGAGCCATCCAAGTCCATGCCACCCACCTCCATTCATTACCAGCATTTCTTTCACCTGGTTTGCATCCCATTTCAGTAAACCTGACATAGATGCAACTTCCCCTCTAAACCAGCCCTCTATGATCTCTGCTGTCATCTCACTCACTCCCCTCACAGCCTTTCTCAACTTGTGTAAATAATTATAAACATTTGCTTGATTCCCTTTCTCCACACTCACCTTAAAATGTCATTAACAAAAAAAGTTAAAAACCAACAAAAAATGGAGCCTCCTAAACAGCAACTAGAACAAAAGTATGCATTGCCACATCAACCTACTTTCAGCAGGAAATAGCAAACGCAGAATATTTTTTTGGAGAACAGCACAGAATAGCTCAACTCTGAACCTCAATTTAAATAAATATTTTACATATATGGAAATATACTCTTGTATCAATACAAAGAGTGAAACAGCTATGCTTACCTTAAACAAGGCGCAAAGCTCAGGCTCCTCGAGTTGAAGGCCGATAGTTTCCATCTGCTCCTCCACTTGATAAGCCTTATCAGCGTCTCCATTCCTACAAAAGCAAAAGAGGGCCGGTCCATATGTCCTGAGCTTCCCTCCATTCCCAACGCCCTTTGCAAGCTCGAACGCAGTGTCACCGTCGTTATTGGCGGCGACCAGCCGAGCAACGGAGGTGGCAGTAGCCTCGTTGGGGCTAGTGCCGCCGGAAACCATGTTCTCGTATACACGGAGACCAAATTCGATTGAGGATTGCTTGGTTTCCGGGTTGGACACAGAATTGGAGCAGATATATAGGAATGAGTTGAAGTGATGGTTGGACATGCGGATTGAGGATGGTTTGGAGACGGCGGAGTCGTAGAGGGAGATTGCGGCTTTAAGGTCTTTGTTTTTGGAACACTGGTCGAGGGTTAAACGGAACTGCGTCTCTGGCGTCAATGCTTTTTTCTTCTTCCTACATTGCTGTTTGTCGCCGGAGGAGTTCATGGTGGCAATAGCGGCGGTTATACGAGCTGCTCTTTGACAAATGGGAGGGGGTTTTGGAGGGGATAGAAAGCGTGCGGAGTGATTTGGGAAAAGGGACGAATAAGGTGACATTGAAATAATCATCATGAAGTAAATTGGGCAAAATATTAGGGCTTTAAATGCAAAATATATATTTAATGCACAAAAAAATAAGTACTCCGTAATTGAATAATCGACATGGGAAGAAAAAAGCATTTATCTTAAAAGACTATAGCCAATATAACAAAATAAAAAAAGTTTAAAACCCATTAAATGCATAAGAATAAAAATGTATTTTGTGTTAAATACTTGTTGAGGTTAAGTCCTCGCGGTTAAACTAGGAATGCGGTTTGCGGTTGTTGAAGTCGGTAGCGGTGTGATGTGGTATCGTTGCAGTTTAATCGCGGTTGCGTGGTGAGTTTTCATCGTAATTCAGATACATACTGCTCTAACAGCTCGATGTGATTACGTTGTGAATATTGTGGTCCGCTATTTGAAACATTGTTATAGAGATGTGCATTGGCTTGATAAGAAAGTGAGAGCCTCAAACGTTGAAATTAATAAATTAGATATAAGCAAATCTTTTGATAGAACTATCACAGCGAAGTTTGGTTACTTTGGTTTATTGAAATTGAAAAGCTAGTACGTAGTATGTTTTATCATGGGTATCTGGAGACATATGTCTAAGGATGTTTTTACTTGGACTGTTTTCAATCACAGACCAAATTAGATCAGATCAGACCAGACCATATCAGATTTGACTTCCATTGTTGATGGAGTATATGGCCCAGGGACCCCCGGTCCATAGACTCCTACTATTCTAAGGGAGGCCCAATAGGCCCAGGAAGCACAGCAGACCCAAATCACAGCGCCCCAAGTACTGAGCAACCCACGTGGCACACTCGGGGTGCCTTCGGCCCCCTGGCCGAAGGCTCCAAATTCTCACAGGATGGTCACCTCAAGCAAACAAAGTTACTGGGAGAAAACGGCGAAAATCGGTAGCCCTCGGCACCCAGAGCCCTCAGCACTGGGTGGGTTTCCGGTACTCAGGGCCCTCGGCTAATCATATGCAGCCGAGTGCACCTTTTTCGACATGATATCCTCTCCACATGCGCCTGAATCACCGTACCAAGTACGACGTCACATCCAACAGCCGCATTTAATGCGGCCACATGCGGATGTCAGTGTCACCCCGTTGAGGTGACCCCTCGACCACCAGAATGATGACACGTGTCCCTATCTGGCATTTATTACTACTATAAATAGCGCCCCTTTTCCCCATTTGTGATCCAAGATAAAATCGCTCATTACATTCTCAGCAATACACACTCTCTCTCTCTTACTTTTGCTCTGACTTCTCTTTAGTTACTCCCCGCAGTGACCCTTCGGATACATAGCCCCGGGTAGGCTATCCATCATTTGGTGCTCTCGTTGAGAGGTCGAATAATCAAGTAAGAAACCCTCCCCCTCGCCAAACACAAAACACCTGGCGAAAATGGTGAGAACAACTCGTGCCAACTCCAAGAACGTTGATGACAGGAACCTGGCCCTCGGCGAAGTCGACGTCCCCGAAGCCTCTAACAAGGCTCCCGGGGGCGGCGTCATCGTCGGGTTGGACCAGACGACTGTCGACCTACGTCATCAGATTCAACAGAATGCCCTCGATGCCCGCCTCGGCATCGAGGCCAAGAAGAAGGACCGGAGTGAGAACCAAGTTAGCCCTCCGGTCATCACCATCGATGTACAATCGGTGTTTTCCGCCTTCATCCAGACGCTCACCCAGAATCCGGGTGCCTTCGACACTTTGGTTCCCCTCCAACCTCAGGTCGGGGAGAATATCATGCCTCCCCTCATCAACACCCCCTCAGGAACCCTGTCCTCCGGATTGGGAACGTCGAGGGGATAGTATCTCAAGATACGGCCTCCCAGGAAGTCCAATCCCGGGACCACCACAACGTGAACAAGGAACAGCCCCGGACCTCCGCCCTCGACAGACTCGGAGGGGCACAAGACCGCCGAGGGGTCCAAGACCGCCGAGGGGGAAAGATGCTCCAGAGGCCTCAGGAGAGTGGCGGATCCGTCTCGAGGGCTAATGAAAGACGTCCCCCTCAGGACAAGGGCAAGGCACCTCTCCATGCCGACGACGCCCGTCACCAAATCAACCGGGCCCACTCGGCCCGTGTCCGTTCGCAGGGGGCGGAGGCCCTCCCGAAGGACCCCCGGGACGAAATCATTGCGGCCCTCCAGCGCCGGCTTGACGAGATGGAGGCCACCAAAGCACACGCCACCACTTCTGCCCCTCATACAGACCTGAAGTATGAGGCCATGTTGGCCAAGATGGAGGAAATGCAGAAAAAGATAACTAAGGGCTCCGGGGAACCCACCATACAACTCCGGACCCAGACGCCATTTACCCCACAAGAAAACACTTCTCCCACTTGTTGACAGTGAGGCAAAGGAAAGAGGAGACCCTTCGGGACTTCTTGGAGCGCTGGAGAACAGAGGCTGATAAAGTTGATGGTGCAGACGACGGGACCCTCCTGGCCCTCCTCCAAACAGTACTCCGCCCCAGAAACTTCTCTAGGAGCCTTATCATTGAACCCCCCCGCGATTACATAAGGGCCCTACAGCGAGGGGACAGGTACGCCGAAGCCGATGAGGTGGAAAAATGCCATCACAACCCAGATCAGCAACGCCCTCGGCCGGACGACAAAGGCAACCGGGGGTCGGGGGCTCCCCGTAATCAACCCAAGGATTCGGCACCCCCCGGTGACCGCCCCAGACATGGCCAAGCCAAGCCCGGGGGAGGTTTCAAGGGGAACCCGAGGGCTTGGGCACGCGAGTTCTCCTGGAGCACCCTCGGACACCTTTGATGCACCCCGTCAACGTCATCCTCGACTTCGCTGAGGAGAGGGGCCTGGGGCAGCGAGATTCTCGCACACCCCTGGAGGTATATGCCATCAATCCAAACTACCCCTACTGTCGCTTCCACTGGCATCAGGGGCACAAAACCGTTGACTGCCATCAGCTGAAGACGACCATTGAAAGGTTGATACAGGTGGGCCATTTGTCCCAATTTGTCCAAGGCCCTCAGCAACAGGGTCCCCCTTTCCAAGGGTCACTCCGAGGGCATCATGCGAAAGCAAACGCATGGGTCAACCCTAACACCATCCCCCTCGGCAAGAAGAGGGAGATTGGGAACCTGGAAGAAGAAGAGGAAGAGTACCCTCGGTACCAAGAAAAGAAGTGCCACATCCTCATGATCACTGGGGGCAATACCGGGGGCGACTCTACCAGTCAACGAAAAAAGTGGGCTCAATCACTTTACGTGGGGGAAGTCACTCATATGCCCCCAGTAAAGCGGCTGAGGGAGGAACCCATCACCTTCACTAGCACTGATCTCCCCCCGGTGTCCTCTCCACACAGGGATGCCCTCGTCATCCGCACGGAGATCAATGACACTATCATTCACCGAACTTACGTTGACACGGGCAGCTCCGTCAATGCAATGTACCTCAGCACCTTCAGAAAGTTGCATCTGGGGAGGGGTCCGTTCGACCCATCAAGACCCCTCTTGTCGGCTTCACCGGCAACACCATTGATTCCGAGGGGGTCATAACCCTCCCGGTACTCTTCGGCGACGGGCTCCATAGAGCCAAGCTGGAGGCCGAAGGGGGTGGTTGGGTAGAAGAGCTCCACAACATCTTATGGCCCTACCGCACAACCCCTCGGCGAGCAACGGGCGAGACACCCTTCTCCCTTTGCTACGGATTTGAAGCTAAGGCCCCCACTGAGGTAACTCTTCCGACCCGAAGGGTCACACAATATGACCCCGAGGTCAACGACGCCAATATGACCCTCGACCTTCACCTTATTTCAGAACGCCGAGAGCAAGCCTTCATACGCGCGGAAAACTACCGAAGGCAAGTAAAGAGTTACATTGACGCCAAAGTCCGCTCCCGGGAATTCCAAGTGGGGGATTATGTCCTCCGACGAAGGGAAGCTAGCCAACCAACCAAGGGTGGTAAGATGGCACCAAAGTTCGAAGGCCCCTACATTGTGGCGGCCATCATCAAACCAGGAACTTACAAACTAAAACGCCCCAATGGGACCGAGGTCCCTAGACACTGGAATGTACATCACTTAGTTAAATTTTATCTATAACATTAGAGCGCCCAAGGCCTCCTATTTTTGAAGAATGAAGGCATATTGAAGACACCAAGAACATGGAACAAGACTCTTATGAGCGGCCAAGCCCTCATATCAGCCCCCGGTCCAAGGCCTTACCACAAGTAAGAACCCTCGACGCAAAGTGTCGAGGGTAGACTATACTATCACCCACAACATAGAAAGAGAACCCCAAATGTTTTTACAGAAGACCCCTCGGCGCCAAGTGTCGGGGGCATACACTACTATCAACTTTCCACAAACGGAAGAAAACACCAAGAGTTTCCTTTGAAGACCCCTCGGCGCCAAGTGTCGGGGGCATACACTACAGAACGTGATAGGCTCACTCAACAAAAATTCAAAAATGTCCCCGAAGGCTACTATACAACAAATGCTATCAGATGTTGGCCAAGTCCAAGCAAGAATCACCTCCGGCACCTCACTAGACACCCAGGCATTGTCCGAGGGAGTCTGTCTTTTTATGCTGCACTTGAACTACAAAATTTCTTAAGTCCACACTGTGGAGACATGACAACAGCCGAAGGCTTTTGTTGCCACAGGCCAACCTTGCGAGACAAAGGAAATTGTTCTAGGCCCACAAAGTAGGCAGCCGAAGGTTCCCCGCACTGAAGGCCAGCAACAGGAAATGCTTAGAAAAAACTTCTAAGTCATAAAGCGTGTGGCCCTCGGCAAACTCACATTGCAACGAGGGTCACCCCACTTCATGCAGCAAGAAATGCCCACATAACGAAGGCCAGATGATATACAAACACTTAGAAAAAATTTCTAAGTCCTAAATACTTTGCCCCTGTCGAGTCACCGGTCAACCGAAGGCATACCTACAACAAGGCTCTCACATTAACCCGAAGGCTCCTATCCCATACAACTACACTTGAAAAAAAAATTAAGTCCTAAATATTTTTGATCCTCGGTCAAATCTCCATGCAGCCA